GGTAATTCCTCATTCTGGATCAGTTCCAATTGTGGAAACCTCTCACAAGTATGACAAATCCTCAGCATTCAGATGGGAGTCGGGACTCTTGTCTTCTAACCTGGCCCTGTACCAGGGCCACAGGGATGCACAATGGTAAGTGAATTAATGAATTAAGGACGAAGATCCATTCAAAACCATTCATCTCAAAAGAGTTCCGGAGATGGACAATGGTGATGGCTGCACAATAATCTGAATGTACTTAATGCCATATAGTTACTTAAATATAGTTAAGATGGTTTAAAAAAAAAATTTTTTTTTGAGTTGGGGTCTCCCTGTCATCCAGGCTGGAGTCCAGTGGCATGATCACAGCTTGCTGCAGCCTCAACCTCCTAAACGCAGGTAATCCTTCCACCTCAGCCTCCCAAGTAGCTAGGATTATAGGGATGAGCTACCATGCCAGGCTAATTTTTTAATTTTTTGTAGAGATGATATCTCACTATGTTGCCCAGGCTAGTCTCGAACTCCTTGACTAAGGCAATTCTCCTGCCTCAGCCTCCAAAAGTACTGGGATTACAGGCGTGAGCCACGATGCCTGGCCTTAAGACAGTAAATTTGATGTTATGTATGTTTTACAATTTAAAAAAATTAATTCAACCTGAGAAAGCTGATTTTAAAAATAAATTAAAAATAAAAAACTCATCTCAGCCTGAGTTGAACACTAGTAAACAGAGGTTTTGATTTCTTTGACTATAAAGAAATCTTAGCAGGCTGAGCTCAACTCATTCCTCTTATGAAGCACATAGTAAGCCACTGTATGGACGAGCCATAATTTAGTCAAGCAGAGAACACTGAGAGACATATAGGTTTTTTGTTCTTGGTACCCTTGGTTCCATTATTTCCGTCAAGCTTTTGAGAAACACACCAACACAATGCCCTTGTCTCATATTCCCCTGCTGTATTACAAAATGGATCTACTTACAATCTCCCAAAAAATGTGCCCAGTTACATTTTCCCAGCTGCTGGCTTAAAAATAAATATCCTGAATTTAGAGCCAAATGTGTCTAACAGGTGCCATCATCCAAGTGAGAATTCCACTGTTCACAAGTATTGGAGACACACCTGCGGCCAGCTATTCTCACTGTCCTTCGAAGGCCGTCAACCATGGGAGGGCACGTCATTCAGCCTCTCTTACTAGGAGAACCAAGGCCAGGTCCTCTCTCATTTAGGGCTGTGAAGTGGTTCTATATGACACTACAATGATGGATATGTGTCCTTAGGCTTATGTCCAAACCCATTGAATCCACAACACCCAGAACAAGCTCTAACATAAGCTACGGACTCAAGTAGGTTCATCGATTGTTACAAATCCACCACTCTGGTGGGGGATGTTGATCATAGGAGCTGGGAGTACAAAGAAATCTTTGTGCCTTTCACTCAGTTTCACATGAACCTCAGAAGGACTCTAAAAAATCGAGTCTATTTTTAAGGCTGGGTGGTGGCTCACACCTGTAATCTCAGCACTTTGGGAGGTCAAGGCAGGAGGACTACATGAGCCCAAGAGATCAAGCCTGGGCAACATAGCAAGACCTCGTCTCTATATTTTAAAAAAATTAAATCTATTTTTAAAAAAAGGTTTCCCTTTCTCCTCAATTATAGTTTTTGTTTATTTTGTTTTGTTTTTGAGTTGAGGTCTCATTCTGTTGCCCAGGCTAGAGTGCAGTGGCATGATCACAACAATCACAGCTCACTACCACGCCCAGCTAATTTTTTTATTTTTTGTAGAGATGAGATCTCACTATATTGCCCAGGCTGCTCTTGAGCTCCTGGGCTCAAGTGATCCTCCCACCTCGGCCTCTTAAAGTACTAGGATTAATCCTAGTACTAGCCCGCACCTGGCCCAGTTCTAATTTTTAAAAAATAAACCACCATGTTTAATTCAAATGTGAAGACAAGCACATAGAGAACACTTTTAAGTAAAAAAAAATTAACAAATCGAGTTCACATTTAGTTCACTGACAGGTGTTCTTCCCTGGTCCACAGGCGTTCCTCTAGTAACATCCAATACTAGAAGAAAGACTGGAGGAACTTGACATTTCATGACATACATCATCTTACTGGTGTTTTGAATGTCTAGGCTGCCTTGCCAAGACAGCCCAAGAATCAGGTTCACTGGCCTTGACCAAGCTTCCACATATGGGAGAGGGGTTATAACACAGGTATCATGTAACAAGATGATCCCAGCAACTTCTCCATGCAGGGAGAAATGTCTGTAGCCCCTTTCACAAACACTATTTCCATTCCAGCCTTCTGGAATCTCTGGAGTTTGCCTTTGTTTAAATGTTTCTATTTATCTGAAACCACCATAAATCATCTTTATTATTATATATTACTCCAGTTTATTAAATAATGAAACAAGGTTTATGTCACATATTCCAACAATGTTTAAATAAAGAGCTTGAAATATAAAAGCTAATGAAAAATTAATATTCTTTATATCATGAATACTATTTCTAGCACATGAATAAATATGGAGGATAGGAGCCATTCTTTATATTCAAACCAATAACATTTAGCATCAATGATTACACAGATCCATAAGCAAACAAACAAAAAACCATCTTCTTCAACTTGGTGATAAAAGCTAGAAATTCTTTTGCCAAAGGTGGAAAGAGGCTTGGAGCCACACGCCAGAAGACACAGGGACCAAGTCTCCCAATTCTTTAAGTTGTTTCTTGGTGAGAACCTTCAACAATTGCATTAACTCTTTCAAAAAGCAGAAAAAGTAGGTTAAGATCCTGTCCTATAAGGCACTTAATAAAGTTACACTGCAGAAATTTTATACTTGTGTCTTAAAACGTGCTTTTTACCATGAGGTTTGCATTTCATCCTGGTATGAATAAGTCTATAATTTGAATAAATGTAATAATGAATACTGCACTCTTTAGGTGGCCTTCAAAATGGATTTGCTTCTACTGCTTTAGAGATTATATGTACACTTGAAAAAATAAAATGTTTTCTACATTTAAAAAAGAGTGGTTCAAGAAAAGCAATCCTTTAAACTCAAAGAATGTAACAGTGAAAGCCTTTCTATAAAGTCTTTATCACATCAGTGGAATGTTTGGTGTGGTTCAGTACCAGGAGCAAGACCCAAATGAGTTTGGGGCCCCCTACTGCCATCTAGAGGCACCCAAGGAGAAGTGAACTTTCATCTGAGTCTAAGCAATTAACACAGGTTACTCCCACTCTCCTCCTTTCTTCTCTTTTTCATGACTTTGTCTTAGCTCTCACTTTTGGAATAAAATTCTGCTTCACAAAATCTTCTTCAAAGGAAATATTAACAAAGAAGGCAAAGTAAAAATGACTGGGAGGAAAAATTGTCGAATTCCCAAGAAAGACCTGCATTCCTTCTCATCTGTCTCAGCAAAGGAACTAGGCAAACAAAATTTGCAAACACAGACAGTAAAAGCGGTCTGCCCTGGAGTTCCTGTTAGCATGTATTTAACAGGGTGGAACTAACTGAAGCGACCCAAGTAAATAAATGTATTTCCTTTCCTAAGGCTGCCTTCCAGAAGTATAAAGTTTCTGAGACCCACAGTCACCTTTTGTTTTGAAAAGGATACAATGAAGACAAGAGACAAGAGGATCTTTCTCTGAAGCTGGTTGAATAAGAATAAGAAAATTTTTAGGCCAGCCTGGGCAATGTAGTAAGACCTCGTCTCTACAAAACAATTTAAAAATTAGCCATTAAACTCACTTAATCATCACGTTAAAAAAAAAAATTAGTCAGGTGTGGTGGCGTGCAACTGTAGTTCCAGCTATTCGGGAGGTTGAGGCGGGAGGATCGCCTGAGCCATGATCGTGCCACTACACTCCAGGCTGGGCGACGAAGTGAGACCTCAACTTAAAAAAAAGGAGAGAGAGAGAGAGAGAGAGAAGAAAATTGTTAGGCTGGTGGGTGCCTATAATCCCACCTTGGAAGGCCAAGACAGATTGCTTGAGCCCAGGAGTTTGAAACCATCCTGGCAATACAGCAAGACCTCATCTCTATTAAAAAGAAAAGAAATTTATTTTAGAAAAAGATGAGTGAGAATGATTTATCGTCTTCAGAATAAAAGGGAAATACGATATAACTCCTATCAGAAACTAGCTAAACAGATGCCCTAAAGAAATCATTCTTGCCGGGCTCGGTGGCTCAGCCTGTAACCCTGCACTTTGGGAGGCTGAGGTGAGTGGATTGCCTGAGCCCGCAGGCTCGAGACCCGCCTGGGCAACTTGGCGAGACCCCATCTCTACAATAAATCAAAAAAATTAGCCGGGCATGGTAGCACGCGC